TTTTAAAGAATTTATTTGCAAATCATGGTGGAAAATAAGTATTTGCTCACCTACAAACAAGATGTCTGGCTCTCACAGACCTGTAACTACTACTTTAAGAGGCTCCACTGTCCTCCACTCGTTACCTGTAGTAATGGCACCTGTTTGACCTTGTTATCAGTATAAAAGACACCTGTCCACAACCTCAAACATATACCTCAACTATGAGAGACAAAATGGGGGGGAAAATCCAGAAAATCACATTGTCTGATTTTTAAAGAATTTATTTGCAAATCGACCAAATGCTTATTTTCCACCATGATTTGCAAATAAATTCTTTATATACCTCAACTATGAGAGACAAAATGGGGGGGAAAATCCAGAAAATCACATTGTCTGATTTTTAAAGAATTTATTTGCAAATCGACCAAATGCTTATTTTCCACCATGATTTGCAAATAAATTCTTTATATACCTCAACTATGAGAGACAAAATGGGGGGGAAAATCCAGAAAATCACATTGTCTGATTTTTAAAGAATTTATTTGCAAATCGACCAAATGCTTATTTTCCACCATGATTTGCAAATAAATTCTTTATATACCTCAACTATGAGAGACAAAATGGGGGGGAAAATCCAGAAAATCACATTGTCTGATTTTTAAAGAATTTATTTGCAAATCGATTTTCTGGATTTTCCCCCCCATTTTGTCTCTCATAGTTGAGGTATACCTATGATGAAAATTATAGGCCTCTCTCATCTTTTTAAGTGGGAGAACTTGCACAATTGGTGGCTGACTAAATACTTTTTTGCCCCACTGTATAATTGTGTATCATCAGCATGTTAATCTGATCACCTAATCACCATAGGTCAATGGAAGACTTTTCTTACAGTTTCATGCAAACAGTAAGGGAGAATGTAAGAAGTTGCAAGGCTCAGTTCCCAATGAAAGCAACTCCCATTGAAACCATTTAAGGTTCAAAGAAGAAATCATTTATTGAGGACTAGTGTACAGTTCTAGAACATTGCTGAGACTAAAAGCCCGCACACACCAAACTCAATTTTACCCCCTTTCCCTTTCACCTCCCCACTTCTACCCCATAGTCCTCCTTGCGCATGCCACTGGGTCTCTCCTGGTCTCACGCTGGTACGACCTTGGGCATTCCTGAGAAACAGATAACAGTCCGTCTGCACCTTATGGTTCACCTTCTAGCTCTTTCCCTCCTCCCCCCTTTCTCTTGTAATGGCAGAAATGAAGCAAGCAAACTAGCAGGCTGGTCTTATTGATTGCGAGGCTTCTGACAGAGAAAGAACTGACTTTTCCTCTCATTCTGTCACTGACTGTAACTGACCATTCAGAAAGGAGAACCACTACAAAAGAGTACCACCCATTCCCAATCCTTACAGCCAGCCCAGAATGACACTATAATTGATAGTATGGAGAGCCACAAGAGATCAAGTGGTACCACAAGAGTTGCACTCCTCCTATGCTGGCATCACTAGAGATCATCAACAAGAGTGACTAGTGAGGTTTCTGTCCAACCCCTAGGCCTGAATCTTGACTAGAAAGGGTCCAGTTAATCCATTTCATCCAGGAATCTTTGTAGCTGTAGTGCAACAACCTTCCCTAAAAAGGAAAAGTTGGAGACTGGTTTATAGTTACCTAAAATAGAGGGGTCAAGTGATGGTGTCTTAAGGTGGGGGGAAGGGCATAATGATGCCTCTTTCAAGGCAGGAAGCAACACCCCCTCATTCAAGAATGCATGTTCTTAATTGAATTATCTTCATTCTTAAAATAATTAGGACATGTCTCTAATTTTTTATACTTGGGTTTCAGAGAGAAACGCTGCACTAGTAGTAGAAGACAAAAGAATTGCCCTAGAGAGTGGGGAGTTAAGAAAAGGAGATGTATTGTTGGTAATGTCCCCACTATATATTTCTTAGGTGTACGTGCTTATTTCTTAGGTGTTACGTTTCCATGGATATTTTGCAATCATAATATGACAACTATTTTTTTTTTTAAGCTGGTCCATCTATTCCTCCGGTAGTAGCATATCCAAAAAGAAGCCAGACTAGTACTACTGACAGTGACCTCAAAGAAGAAGGGATTCCATCAAGGAAGTCTAGCAGCAGTGCAGCTGGAGGAAAAGGAATTGCTCCTGCTAGCCCTATGCTTGGGAATGCAAGCAATCCAAATAAAGCTGATATTCCTGAACGTAAAAGAAGTTCTGCTACACCCAATGTAAGTTGTAGATTTTCTTTAAATTATAAGAGTATCTTACTCTTCAACCAATACTATGTATTAGGAGCAGTTTGGGGCAAAACATGTAATTTTTTTTTAAGTTTATCAGTAAGAAAAGTGGATACCTCAGGCCTTTTAAATTCTGTGCTATAATCATTATACTATAAATTAGCTTAGTAGCCTATTAATCTTGAAACTCTCTCACCACAGATTGTGGATATGGATATGCTTGTGAAAGTCTGTTGATTAGTTTTTTCCTTCTGACTCAACCTTTGAGCTTAGGGTGAACCAAGTCATTTTCATGGTACTAACACTGAATGTTTATAATTATTTTTGGACTGGCTACTGGTATGGAGTTCTATAAGGGAAGTAGACATTGACCCATTTCAGACATATGATAGATTTAGTTTTCCAAATACAGTTGGAGAATACCTGCCTCGTTTGTTGAAACTTTGATCTGTGGAAAGCGAAGATGGCTCTGGTAATGCTTTAGAGCCAGGTAAGCTTTCTGATTTAACAGGGACCAGAGGTAAATGAAATAGAAATGGAGAAAGAAAATGCAGAGTTTGGTATCATTTGGAGCAGGGTTCCTCAACCTTGGCGACTTGAAGATGTGTGGACTTCAACTCCAGAATTCTGGGAGTTGAAGGC